CTTAGGTCAAGTGGGCCTCATGTTTTTCTCGATTCTCATGCCAATCATGGCCCACTCCCGGGATCGTGATAAGAAGATTGCATGGAATAGAGCTTATTCGATTAGAAAGCTTGTAAATTTAAAATATCAAGATGGAAGGTCTATTGCTAAACACTTGAGTGGCTTTTAGGATTTGATTAACGAGTTGATAACTATAAAAATAATGCTCAATAATGAGTTACAAAAAATATTACTATTAGGGACTTTGTTAAACGGTTAGGAGACTTTGGTTGTGACACTTGATAATTCTACTTCGAATAATGTTTTGTCATTTTTATGGTTAAATATAGTTTATTCAATGAAGAAACAAGATGAAGATGAAATGATAGTGGATGAAGCATAAGCTCTTGTCATAGAGAATAGAGGGAAAAGTTGGAATAGAGAACTTAGTGAACACAATGAATCAAAAAGCAAATCACAATCTAGTGGCATTTTAAAATGTTATCATTATGACGGAAAAATTCACATCAAGAGAAATTGCAAGACATAGAAAAAAGGACAACAAGATAATAAGAACACCACCGTAGTATTAACTTTAGATTAGGATGTGGTGATACTTTCATATAGAAAGAAGAAGTGTGGTGTTGTAAATCTTTACGTTAAATAAATTGTTGACTCGGCGACTACATATCATGCTACTTCTAGGAAGAAATTTTTTACTATAGATAAAATTAGTGATTTTGGTAGAGTAAAGATGGACAATAATAGTTATGCTACTGTTTTAAGAGTTGGCTATGTGTGTCTAATGACATATACATTATACATGTTGTATACTAACTTTGAAAGATGTGGTGCAAGTATCGAATTGATGCCCGAATTTGACTTCTACTCGTGCTTTGAATATGTCGGATATTATAATTATTTTAGTGGTAGAACATGAAAATTCACCACGGATATTATAATTATTTTAGTGGTAGAACATGAAAATTCACCACGGATATTAATTAGTGGTAGAACATGAAAATTCACCAAGAAATCAATAGTTGTTTCTAGAAGTGATATTTATGATAAACTATATAGGAAAATAGTATAGTTGATCGGACCTATAAATTATGTAATTATATATAGAACTTATCTAAAATTATGGTCTAATGACATACTCAAATGAATGAAAAAGTCTTGAAAAATTGTTTTACTTATGCCAAATAGATTGCCACATATGAAAGAATATTGAATGAAGAAAATGAAATTGATATCAAGCCAAAAGTTAGTAATGATGATCATATAAACAAAATAAGTGCTAAGCGAGGACGAGTAGGACCTCTCGCTTTATAATATAGAGTCTCGGATGAGTAGGTTTATTGATCAATATCACTCTTTTACTAAGAATTCTAGTTCTAATAATGTTTGTTAATGGACTAGGGGAAGCTAAATAACTTATGTACTATTTTGACTTATGATAAAGGTTAGGAATCAAAATCTAATAATTGACAATATCATTGACTTTGTGAGTGAATAGAAAAACAGTTGATAATGCTGAGAATGATTCTTCAAAATAAAGATCATTCCGATATATCTATAAAATTGATAACATGCGAGAAGAATGGATTGTACGCCAATGTAGCTGGCGTGAACTCTAGATGATGAGTTGGGATTTTTCCTTCATAGATCGAAGGGGAGATTTATTGGATACATGCTTAAGGTACGACCTAATGACTTATCGTAGCATAACCTATGAAGAAATAAATTAGACAAAAGATTCATATAGAAAAAAATTAAGTAAAAAATAATTATTTAAGAAAAATATTAAAGTTAAATAGAAAAATGACTATTGTTAAACTAAAAAAAAATTATTTTGTTTTTCCTATTTAGCCAACTTGTGTGCACATAAAAAGAAAGTTTTGATCTTTCTTTTAGTACGATTGTTAAAGAGAGAAAAGAAAAGAAAAGAAAAGAAAGTAAGAATTTTTTTTATTCTTTTGATGAATTCTATAAGAAGAAAACAAGAATTTTCTTGGTGCATAAAATATTACGGTTTTGTCTCATATTGATTTATTTATACCATAGTCATGGAGGCGGTGTTCAACATAGTGATATACAAACTAGAGTGATTCTATTGCTTTCTTGATTATAGTAGATTATTTTAGAATTCATCTTGCGGTTTTTTTTCTACAACGAAATTTCACATAAATTTAATGTTCTTGATTGATTTATTTTGTATTCTTAATTATTGCGTATTTTTTTATTCTATTATTTTCTCATAAAATCTAATTTACATAAAGTGAAATTAAATTTCCAAAAGCACACAATTTCTAAAGCTTCATACCACACGTTTGCTCGCCGGACTTATGTTTTACTTGCATTGTCTACTTTTTCTCTTACGTTTCTCAATACTTATATTTATTCTAATTATTTACTTGAACATTGTTGTCATAAGAGAGAAAAGCTTTTTTGGTGCCCAACCTTTCAATTTTTTTCGTTTTGATGCCCAATTGTTGATTTCTCATGATTAACTACCCAAGCTTTGATTTTTTTTATTTGTTTTGGTGCCTAAGTTCATCTGAATCCTAATTTTGTTGACGTGTTTGACGAGATCTATCAAATGATGGTCAAAAAATGCTAAATGATAGTCAACATTGTCACATCGGCATCTCATACTCTCATGTAGCTATGGGCACTCAAATAAAAAAAAAAAAAATCAAAGGTGAGACATTAAAACGGAAAAAAAATTAAAGATTGGGTACCAAATATATAGTTTTTTTAAAGAAATTTATTGTCTCGAGATTGCAAAATTAGTTCAATAATTTCTAATATATATTTTTTGTATCATACTTGTGGCATTTTTTTTTTACTTATCAATGATAATTTTTATTACTCTGTATGAGTTAAAAATTACTTTTTAAAAAATTCTAAATCATTTTACATGTCTAGATAAATTTAAAATTATGTCATTTAATCCAAATTTATATAAGGTCCAATTAAGATTAAATTTAGAAAAATAAAAGACATATAAGATCCAATTATGATTGCTATTTGTGGAACAAATGGTTGATCAATAGAGAATATTATAAAAAAATAAAAATTGCTTGCTTTGTCTAGAGAGAAAATTTATCAACATATCATGGATAACATAACCTTATCGTAGCCAATAACTTGATGAACTTCTTATAATAAGCGGAGATGGGATAGAATCAACATAAATAAATTTAGTAATCAATTTTTTTTATTTGAGTATTTAAAATGTAATATTTATTGTAACAATGACGATAATGATAGAGAGAATAAATAAACTGTGAATTAAACTAAAAAGTATCATGGGTGAGAAAATTTACTAATATATCATAGGTGACATAACCTTATTGTAGCCAATAACTTATTAAACTTCTTATAGTAAGCGGAGATGGGATAGAATCAACATAAATCAATTTAGTGATCAAATTTTTTGATTTGAGCATTTAAAATGAAATATTTTTTGTAGTGATGATGATAATGATAGAGATAATAAATAAAGCTGTGAATTAAGCTAAAAAGTAAATGCATTATAAAAATTACTTGTGCAATTAGCATAATAATAAGAAAATATGCATGCATGTAATTGTTAATGTTTTTAGAATTTAAAATTATATGACTTTTAATATAAAAAAGAAAGCTTCGAGAGATTATATATATATATATTACGAAAGTATAAGAAATATATGAAATTTATTTATAATAATAATAAAAAGATATATCGAGTATAAGAAAGAGATAAACATTTGATGTGAGAAAACTAAAATAAATTTTTTGAAAAAACCTATATTTTTTATGTTCAGCCATTGATCTATATTTTTTCTATTTAAATACACAATCTTTAATTATTATTTTTTTCTATTTCAATATCTAACCTTTGATATTTTTTTTTCTTTCCTATTTCAATGTCAATAGCTACCTGAAAATATGATATACTGATGTGATAGAGTTGCCTACCTAGTGGTATTTTTTTATGTCACGTAAAAGATCTCATCAGACATGTTAGCAAAATCAAAATTCAGATGAACTCAAATACCAAAAAATCAAAACTTAATAGCTAACTATAAGAAATCAACAATTGGACATAAAAACAGAATAAATAAATAAATAAATAAAAATTTAAGACACCAAAAGAGCCTCTCTCTCTTTTCAGAAACCACATCGCTATTTTTCTACATTTTGACCACTCTAGCGCCTATTTATTAATTCTCAAAAACTCCTAAACCAGGTAGCAGCGAAGGAGACCTCATCCCTGCGTTCAAAATAAAAGACAAAAATAGAACACATTGCAACATGCAGTGCCAAAAATCAATATTCGGCTGTCTACCATGCTATGAATTTTGCTCTCTCAGATTCCGCAATCCACTTCTCCAGCCGAGCTAGGAATGTTGCACAGCTTCCATGCAGGACAAATGGAACGACCTTGACCCATAAAACAATAAAAATCCAACCTTGGAAGTTTTTGGAACCAGCTCTAAGCTTTTTGATCGGGCTTACCATCATGTCATTCATTCAGTGTTCTTCTCCTCCGCCAACTATGACCTAACGAAGCATAGTGGAATTGTTCCAATAAAGAAAATCTCAATTCTCATTTACAATAAACTAAAACATATCAGATGCTTGCTGCTTAATTGCAAAGCATAAGAATCACCACCCAAAATATAAATGGAAAGAAAAACAAAAAGAACAAAACAGACAATACACTTGGAAGTAACTGTAAAAACGTGCAATTTACTTCTTGGAAAACTCAGCACTCAGCTTAACGAGGACAAGCTGAAGAAGTCTTGCTTATTTGATTTTAACACGAAGGAGCACAAGAGTGAGTTCTGTGATACATCAAGACAAACAGAAAGTGAAACAAAGTCGGACTGGAGGAAAACTAATTACAAGGGTGCTAATCTATGTCACAACCACCACGTTTGCCGGGTATCTAACAATCAGAAGGAGATTAGCAGAAGCATTTGATGAACACAGTCAATTACTGGGGAATGAGTAGACCATTATAATAACGCTTAAACTCTACAGTTCGAAGGCAACGGCAGCACTCCATCAAAGAAATCACCAAAGTAGCCATGGGGCTCATGTACAAGCCTTGAGATTATATCTCTCAGTGTGATCACCCCCTCCAGATTCCCAGCATCATCCACAACATATACCCGATGGATTTTCTCAGAGTCAAGCTTCATAATCAATTCTTTAACAGAGTAGTTTTTTGTGCATATCACCATGCCACTCACAAAAGGTGAGTTTTCTTCAAGCTTCTTCAAGTGGCTTCTAACTGCCGTCGAGAAGTTCTTTGCTGTGATAGATCTGTCAAAAGTATTTCAACTGAGAGTACTGAAATGGATAAAAGCTTGATGCCAAACTGAGAGAATACAAAATTCAGTTTAAAGAATGATTAACTGATTTTTACCCCTTCGAGCCCATGACCCTCAGACATTCATGGATTTACCAACATGACTTAGCAAAAAAGAAAAAATACATAAATTGTTTTAGCTCAACCAAATCAATTCTGCCAGCAAGCGCTGTAAATAATTGATCTTCATCAAAGGTTGCAATTTCATAAGCTTTCAAATGGACTCTGAATACCAGCTTATTATTGTCAACAAAATCCTTGTAAATTTAACCAATATGAACAGGCATATCGTAGGCGCCTTAAGGACTCGAACTACAAAACACAGGACATTTTGATAATGAACTATCAAACTAACCACAGTACTAGTAAAAACAGGAGCTACAAACCTATAATCGTGGTAGATCTCCGGTGCAGTTAAAAGGAACTGGACATCTCTTATACTTATGTTGCCAATGACCTTTTTCCCACTAATATCCACAATAGGTATTGCTCCAATTCTCTTTTTCCTCATCAGCTTAAAAGCCTGGAGCACTGGTTCTTCCTCATATACCTAAAACAGGCAAGTGACCATTCAGGTGAGTATCATTAACCTGTAAATCTTCAAAACAACATATTTTGCTTGAAAAAAGCACCAAGGGAAAATGAAGAGTGCTTAACAACCAAGAAAAACCTGGTCTTTGTTAAGGCCAGGGTTTCAAATGTGCCATTACCATCTCGATTTATTTGCATGCCCAGATCAAAGATTCGATGGTCCAGTATCCAACATAAATTCACACATACAGAAAAATGATTCATCCATGCACTGTTAAACGCAATATACTGACCAAAGCATGAGATGAGCATGTATGCAAGTCATCCTGAATCCACATAAAGAATACTTTATGGAAAAAAGTGACGGACCTTGACTACATGATCAGGGGCCATCAAGGGAAGACCAATCTCAGAAAGTTTCTTTGTTCCCCAACTTTCAAACCATTGAAGCCCAGCACATTCCGCTAACATGTGAATAACAGAAGATTGAGTGACAATGTTGTCAATCTTCGCCTCACCCAGATCAACCACAGGAACGCTTTTCATTTTGTAATTCGATAGCAGCAGAAGCATGGTCAGGAATGAGTTTGATTTCTGTAAAGCGAGAAATGGTGCCCAACGGAATGACCCTGCAATGTCTCGAACCTGTATGATTTCAGGTTAGCATGAATTGTCCAATGCAATATAAGGATTAACAAGCTTTGTATTATCATCAAAGAGAGAACCAGAACCTTTGTGTTCTTGTAGAATTCAGAAGAAGTCAGTGCCTCAAAAAAATTTCCAGAAGTTGCTTGAGCATCTTCAGGGCCTAAAGTCCCAAAACTAGCAGCATTGGTCACTCTATTAACAGCTACTTCAAGAGCTGATCCCGAGGTTGGACTCCTGGGTGACGGAGGTTCCGACTGTCAAAATAAATAAATATCTTTTTTTTTCAAGAGATTTCCAGAACACAAGAATAAAAGACAAAAAAATACCATACATATCATTCTCATAGTTGAACAGATTGAAAAGAAAAGAAATTTTCGATTGCTATCACTTTATATACAAGTACAGACAGGATCATAGGCAAAATCAATGAATTGAGAAAAATAAAGCACAAACTGGATCGTAGGCAAGATCATTGAATTGAGAAAAACAAAGCACAAACAGGATCATGAGGAGCATCAATAAACAAAGAAAAACAAAATTCTTGTCTATCCCATTCTCTCAAAATCAGACACGTCATTTCCTGATCTCTCTTTGCGTCTGCTTGTCATAGAACAATCTCAATATCCACTGTTATAAACTGAAGAACAAATCAAATAAACAAGCATGCCTTCATTTATTTTTCTTCTCCAATTTCTAGTACGAAATAAACAGAATATACGAAGATACTTGAATCATTTCATTAGTCAAAACAGAAAAACAAGGTTGGCGAGCTAGCTAACCAACCTGATGCAGAATCCACACTACAATCCCAGCGAACTCAACAACCCCAATGTATCTGTCAATCCAACTAGCATCCTCAAGAGCATCGACGTCCACCACAGGAGCACTAAGAATCTTGTGCTCTGCAAGTATTTGAACAGCCTCTGCTAGACTGGTGTCTGATTTTATCTCGATCACTACAAAACCAAATAAATCAAAAAACAAAAAAGGAGTCACTAGGAGATCTTTTTCTACAGCAAAACTCCATCAAGAACAAAAAAGGTATCAAAAAGTTCCACTCTTGATCATAAACAACCAAAACAAATAAACCGATCATGATCACCATGATTCCAAGCTTTAACATACAATTTACAACTTAACTCAAGTGGGATATCCATTATTTACCTTGAGAAGAAGGAGCAGGAGGGAAAGCAGAGACAGGGATACTCTCAAAGCAAGCGTTAAGTTTCTCAGTTGGACTTAACTGTGGTTCTTGAACATCCCATAAATCCTCAACTTTCATTCCCAGCCTTGCCTCTGGACTTTTTGGACTATCTTGCATAACCTCATGAACAACATCACTTTCCCTTCTCATAAGCTGCATGCTTGCCATTTTTTCACCACTCACCAATCTCACTTCTCTGTATATAAAAGTCTGCTACCGCGAGTGTTCTCTCTCTTTTTCTCTGTGTGCGCAAATCCAAGACGGAGTCTTTCCCTTTACTTTTTTTATTACAATGCTGACAATGATAGCATTTCTTTTCTTAAATAACTACAAGCGCTCCTTCCTTTAATCCCCTACCACCTATCTCACTTTACTCTCCTTATACCCACATTTTAACTCCGTTTAAAATCATTCTTCCCTTTTTTTTTTTTTTTGCAAAAAAAATAAATTTACATTATTTTAAAAAAAATAATGATTTGGTTAAATGCAGCATCATGGATGCATAATATTAAAAATAATATATATATATATATATAGTGTATTTTACTTTCAAAGTTTTGTAAATTATTTTAATTTTTATATTATTATCTTGGTTTCTAATTTATAAATCAAAAATATTTGATAGATTAATTTAAATATAAATAATAAACTCAATTTTGATTGTAAAAATTGATTTGGATACGCTTTAATTTTCAATATATATATATATATATATATATATATATATAATAACTTCTACGATTCAAGTTGATTATTTTAAACCAAATATATGATATAAATAGGGCAATGAGAAGTTGGTTAAAAAAATATTATTATTTACATCATATAATAATATAAAAAAAAATGTAAAGATTTTTTTTAGGTGTAGAAAAAGAAGTAGAAATGTGTATTTGGGATTTGGAACACGTGGAGGGTAGGGAAGAGTGAGGGAGCATTGATGGTGATGTAGAAGAGTGGTCAAAGTATTTGACGAATTATATGGGTTAAGCTTATCCTGGTAGCCCAACAGATTTGTTTCTTATTTGAGGAAGGGACCTTTCTTATCCGATCCTTCATGGCGGCCACTTGCGTGGCAAACTAGTATGCGCCACAGCGTGCATTGCGCACCCCACTATGGCCCCTTGGAAGTTTGACGTTGACTGAATGACCTGGACAATGACGTGGCTTTGATTTTGACATGTGCCTATTACTAAGTAGTTGTTGATATTTTTGCTGATGCCACGTTTTGGCTTCAACAGTTAAGATTCTTCTTTCAATAATTGGAGCTATTTTGGCTTTCATGGAGGAGGGGGTAAAGGGGTATCGATTAATTTGAAATCGGCAAATGATGGATCATATGCTACTTCTATTGGTTTTGTAGTGTGAAAAAAGAAAAATTTATGAGATGATATTTATTTTTTGGAAGCATGCTAATCATATATTTTTAAATGTTATTTAATACAATTAACTCACTTCTTTTTTTCAATCAAAATATTATCAAATTAGTTTACATATTGATCGAAATTAATTTTTTAAATGATTTTAAAAAACACACTTGTCTATCAATCTAATGTATTAAAAAAATTTAATAAATTCTTATAAATAGTGCTATGTTATAAAAGAAATAGTAACAATAGTAAAATTAAAGAGAAAGATGGTAATAAAATGAATTTATTATAAAATAAAGTGAATACAAGATATAACAATTCCAAATAATCTCTCAATCTCTACAAAATACTTGAATTTCTCATAAACAAGCAAGCCTATTTATAGGCTTTAAAATTAAGAAGAGAATTGAAAATGACTATGAACTATTAAAAGATGTATAAATAATTGAATTAATTGCATCATATTTTCAATTTTTTATATTGAATGGTGAATTGAATCACATGAGTAGTGAGAATATAAAATGAACATTCATCATTTCATAACATCTGTCCTTTGAATGTCCATCGTATAATGAACATACCTCGTTAAAATCTTATAAGGAAAAAACCCAATGGGAAAAAATCATATTGAAGGAAAAAATAATACAATATTTCTTATACACATTAATCTCAATATTGGGCTCCTTACATTGAAAACATCATTTGAGATCTCTAAGATGATGCATTTCAATCTTGTGAATCATCTTCTCAATAGTTGTAGTAAGTAATGTTTTAGTGAATAAATCTAATGTATTGTCATTTGATCGAATTCTTCTTTTAATTGAATTATGCAACCGAGCATTATCTTTATATGATATTGTTCGAACTTCTTTTGCTAATAGATAAACCGCATATCTCTCGGATATGATAGATCATTGATCTTAGCCAAACATATTCTCGACTTGCCTCGTGAATTGATATTTCGCATGGTTTGAATATTTAGCGGCTATAGTTTGCTTATAGAACATCATGATATAGTTGTACCACCAAGTATAAATACATAACTTGTTTGTCATTGAGTTTTATATGGATGAGATAAATAACATGCATCCGCATAACTAATTAAACTCGACTTTGATTTATTTGAATAAAATAAATATCATATCAATTTTTTCTTGGAGATAATGTAGGAAATATTTAATTTCATTCCAACGTCTCCGTATTGGAACAAAACTATGATTTGCTAATAAATTTATAGAAAAAATCATATAAGATCAAGTATTATTAGCAAGATATATTAATGCACTAGTGGCATTAACATATGATACTTCAAGACCAAATAGTTCTTCGTTATCTTCTCGAGGTCAAAAGGATCTTTTTGAATATCAAGTGAATGAACTATCATTAGGCTAGTTAATGGATGATCTTTATATAAAATAATTATAAAACTTTTTCTATATAAATTGATTGATAAATAAAAATATCATGATATATAGTTGTACGTCATGATATAGCTATACCACCAAGTAGAATACATAACCTGTTTGTTATCGAGTTTTGTATAGATTAGATGAATAACCTCATCCGCATAACTAATTAAACTCGACTTTGATTTATTTAAATAAAATAAATACAATATCAATTTTTCTCTTGGAGATAACATAGGAAATGTTTATTTCCATTCCAATATCTCCATATTAAAGCAGAACTATGACTTGCTAATAAATTCATAGAAAATATCATATCAAGTCAAGTATTATTAGCAAGATATATCAATGTACTAGTGGCACTACGATATGGTACTTCATGATCAAATAGTTCTTCGTTATCTTTTCGAGGTCAAAAGGGATCTTTTTGAATATCAAATGAATAAACTACCATTACGTTAGTCAATGAATGATCTTTATATAGAATAACCGTAAAAAATATTCTATATAAATTGATCGATAAATAAAAATATCATTCTTTATGCATTCGAACTGCAAATCAATATAAAATTTTGTTTTCCTAAGGTATTTCATATCAAATTCTCTTTTTAGATAACTTATGGTACTTTGAATCTCTTTAAGAGTTTCAATAATATTTAAATCATCAACATATACAATAATTATCACAAACCTTTTTTCGAATTGCTTTATAAAAATACATGAATAAATATGGTTATTTTATAACCTTCTTTCAATAAATATTTATTGAAACAATTATACTATATGGACACAAGTTAGTAATAAAGAGTAGATATTGAAAAAAAAAGTATAGTATAAATTGAATTTCAAAAAACTAAAATAATAAAACAAATACTAAAATAATTTTGATAGAGATATTTTATAATTTAATTGAATTCATTTTTCGAGAATATGTATTATGTGCTTTAGGCATCTTAAGTCTTTTTAGGACTTTCATATAGATATCGATTTTAAGCTGAACAAATAAGTTGTAATCACATTCATTAAATGCATGCATATGAATTTTTTCATATATTTTTCCAAACTAACGAGATAACAAAATGTAATAAAATCTACTCTAGGAGAATATGTCTCTTCATTGTCAATGTCAATTCTTTGCAAAAATTCTTGTGTTGCAATTCTTGCTTTGTATCTCACAATCTCATCTTTCTTATTTTATTTTCGCAAAAATACTCATTTGTATCCCACTAGCTTAACATCTTTAGGTGTTTTGACTATGTGTTCAAAAACTATTCATTTATAAGGGAACATAATTACTGCTCGAATCGATCTTTTTATTTAGGCTAATCATCTCTATGTCAATATTCTTCAATAAATTTAGGCTCGGGCTCCTCATTTTAATTCAATATATCAATAAATGTTTCTTTTCGTTCATATTTTCTCCTTGTATTGATATAATTTATCAAATTCTCTTGATTATTTTCAAGCATTTGGACTTTTTTAGAAGCTTATTATCGAAATATCTTGGACTTGTTTTGTGAATATTTGCATCCTTTTATATTTTCATCTTGATTATTTTCCCTTTTCTTTCGGGAGATGAACACATAAATACATACTTATGTATATGTGTGTGTGATTCAATGATTTGATATGAAATGATTTTAAACTATTTAATTTATGATGTATAATTTGGTTTTACGATGTGCACGGTTTTGGAGAAACTAGCATTGCATCTTAAGTGAAATTTTAAGTTATCATCTTTAGTCCGTTTTTCTCATTTGGATGTGTTATATGATATCTACTCACCGAGTCTGTTGATTGCTCACTCCTCACTATTTCGGTTTTACAAGATTTGTGAAGGTGCCTTTTTTGCTTCCATCTTGCTGCTTGTCTTGAAGTCGACATATTGATTATATGGCTTATTTTCTTGTAATTCCTTATAACTTGTGTTTTATTTAGTTATACTCTTAGAAGCTTTGCATTTATAACTTATGGAGTTGTGTTAGAAATTAAATATGAATATTGATTTCAGAATTATAAGGATAACATTGAATTATGAGTTGCATTGAAGTTATAAGTAATGAATATTAGATTGAATTATTGCAAAATGAGATGGCATTTGATGTGATACAAATTTGAGGAATTAAATTAGATATTTGAGGCTTTCTTGAGTCAAGGTGAGCCTCATGGTTTCCTTGATTCTTATGCTGATTATGGACCACTTCCAAAGTCATGACGGGATAACTGGAAAGCTACAAATTAATTTCTCATATACTTGCAAGGAATGAAGGATCATATATTCACTTATAGAAGATTTGTTCATCTTAAGGTGATTAGATACTTAGATTTAGATTTTGTCGAATGTTTTGATTAAAAAAAATCCATATTTAACTACTTGTTTCTCTTAGTTGGATGAACAATTTCATGAAAGAGTATGAAGCAATATGTTATTATTGCATTCGCCATGGAAGCTTAGTTTGTCAATGTTTGGACCACTACTTATGGATTATGATTGCAGAATTTTATTTCGGGACTTAGGGTTATTGACAATATTGTCGGACCATTAAAAATTTATTGTGATAACTCTGTAGTAGTTTTCTTTTCTAAAAACGACAAGTATTCCGGAGGAGCTAAACATATAGAAATAAAATACTTTACCATTAAAGAAGAAGTTTAGAAACAAAAAGCATTAATTGAGAACATTAACACCCAACTTTTGATTGTATATCATTTGACAAAATATCGACACTCAAAATATTTAATGCATGTATTGAAAGAATGTGCATTGTTGGACATCATTAGTGATATTGCATTACGTTTTTATTCGGTGTATATATTTGACACTCGAGCTCACTTATATGTTTTTTATATTTCTCATTTTCTATTTGGTATACATACTTATTTTAGAATAATATTGTCATGGATAGTCTTATAATAAACACACTAAAAGTTAGAATATTATTATCCTCATTAAAGATCATGTTAAGTTGAAAATTAGTATTATGGCACATGTAAGAGATTGTGTTGAGAAAATGATATAAAATTACCATGACTCATATTAATATTTTAATTTAACAATGATATAATATTGTAGTCGTTGTAGAAATATTTTAGCATATTTTTTACACATTATGTTCTTTTATTAAATGATAAAAACATTATCATATGGATCATGTGGAAGAATATAAAATTAATTATGACTCACATAGTATGATATTTAAAGTACAACTAATTAATTATGTTATATTAATTATGATGCACATGATAAATGATTTAAAATGTATCTAATTAGCTAGTCCGTATATCTAATTATAACTTTTTTTTTCATTCTTTTTCAATTTTTTTCTAATAAATGAAAATGTAAAAAAAAAAGTGTTAAAAAAGAAGAAGAAGACATTTTTTTAAAACAAATATTAAACGAGCCATATTCAACTCTGATTAAATAACTAATTAATTATTTTTTAAGACAAGAGGAACTACTTAATTTATTTTCTAAAACTATAGAAACTAATATTATTATTTCAATAGTGCTGCCCTCCCTGTATTTTCCTCCGGTTTCTCAGCAGCCGGCAATAAGAAAAAAACCCTACCCAAAACCCACACTCCCCGTATATATAGCAAAGTGCAGCCCATTGCACAAAACAAAAACAGTGTGTTACATGCTCACATTAGCACAAGTCCAAGCCCTTGTTCTAAACTTTTGACTGTCACGTACTTCCGGGTCTCCCCCTTCTCTCTTTCCTTACTTGCCGAGCGTTTTCGTTCCTTTCAAGCTCCATGGAGAGCTCTTCTTCTCGCCAATTCGATTCAAATCCAAAGCCCGCTGGTGCTTCCAAATTCCTTACCAATCTTCCCTCCCGCGGCTTCTTGTCCTCCACCGTCTCCTCCTCCAATCCGGTCATTCTCTTCACTTATCAAATCATGTTTCTTTAAAATTACTCTTTGGTGTTTAATTATTTATTTTAGTTCAAAAAATAGTGTTTGTCTGTGTAAATTGTGAGTGAGGGTTTTAGGGTTACTGACTATAGGCGTACATTGTTAGAATCAAGAAACTGTTTACTGTAATTTGATATTTTTACAGTGGGTAATTAACATTAATGAGGGTTTAAAGATTGTGATTAGTGGTAATTAGGAGAAGGAATGTCGGATTTTTAGATGGTGTTATGGGGTTTAGTGGTTGCATTTTTGGTGAGCAAGATGTTAATGTAGAGAGCGTGATTTATGTAATTAAAAGTTATTAGGGTTGGCTTGTTTGCTATTAGTGTTTAATTTTTTTTTTTTTTTCCCTTTCGTTTATGGCATCCTGGTTTTGTGCTTATGTGAATGTATGTGTTATTTTCTAGTTTGCTGAGACTTGTTTGAATGCTGGTAATTTTATGCAGGGTGGGATGCGGGTTTATATTTGCGAGCATGACACTTCACCTCCAGGTCTATTTATGTTTTTAGTCTTTTGGGTTCCCTAAACTTTGGTGTTTGATGCAGTTCTTAGCCTTGAATTTATGCTATATCTGATATTGCACTAGGAAAAAGTCAAGTTTTTTCTTTCTTGTTTTGTTTTCATGAAATGTAGCATAACTGAGTTTTCATTCTTCTGATTCTAGTTTTGAGATGTTGGTGTTATAGTCTCACATAGCTGGTTAAATTTATTGTTTTAAAGAAGAAGCTCCTAAGGTCCCCTTGGAAAGAGAGAGGGCGGTTTTAACTGTAGAACTGGATATTAAAGCTCATGTTATCCTCGAGCTTCCTTGTGGACAATTTTTCTAATTTGACAGTGTAACCCTGGAGAGTCTCGTTATCTGCTAGTTCAGTTTTAATACATAGATTTGTAGCAAATTGAGTTTTCCTTCCTGGCTAAAATCCCAGGCATCATGTGACCCTTTATGAAGACCAGCCTGTCACTTTGATGGTAAATGGCAGTGAAGAAAGAATAAGCAAACCAATTTTCTTAGCTTTTAAAGCAACGGATTTTCTTTTGGCTTGGATTGCAGTTGCAAAAATATGAAAACACTTGCTATGGAAAATATGTGACTGTGTTCTCTTATGTTTGACTTCTCTCAACTTTTTTTTTCTCTGTGTTTTCTGTTGTAATCTTTTTTGGAAAAAAAAAAAAAAGAGGGGGTGGAGCATGTAGGATTGCCATGCTACCTTTTACATTTTGCAATGGTTTTATGTCCTAGTTGTTGCTGCCTGGGGTAGGTATTTGAATTTGGAAACTGTTTTCAAGTACAAAAGTGAATCATGAAGTGAAATGAACTAATATCTCAAGCTGCTCAAAAGTTAGAAATTAGATTGGATGAAAGACTTCAAAACCTTTGACACTCTTCAAAGTTTCTTTTTTCGGGCTCTATTTCAGGCTACTCACTGAGGATTATTGCTCTTTATTCCCAAAATTCCCCATTCCTGGTGAGAGCTGGATTCATTCTTAGGTCCCTGGACTGAACTTCAGTAGATTTCACAAGCTATCTTAGTTTGCAATCCAAAGTTCTCTCCAGTTTTATTTATGAAATTAAACTTCAAATCCTCGATGTTTTAATTGTACCATGAGTTGATTATTATTTGCATTGAGCATGAACAATATTCAATACAAAGATTCTCTTTATCTATACTGTTATTGTCATATGCATGTAATATCAGTTTTTCTCTTAGTTGTTATGGATAGTGTAGGAATCACCTTCATATGTATTTTCTGTTTTAGTATGGGTTTTTCTATCTTCTATATACATGAAAAGATTATGCTATACTTGTAATATATTAATTTATCTTATGCAATCAAACTCCTGGAATTTTTAAAGAGAGTGAGTGGATATTTGGATATTGGAAGAACTGACTTCCTCTCCCTGTCATATTCAGAGAGCCAACAAATAAAGACTAACCAGACGAACATACTGATAAGATCACTCCAGCTTAATAAACATAAGGGTGATTCCAGTTCAAAGGATTTGAAGGGGGTAGCTGCAACAGAGGGTTCTAGAAAGAGGTATTGCTTCCATCTTACTGTAAGAGGATGCTTCACATGCTTTGAAAAGATCTGCCTGTTTGTGTTTCTTATAAGCATTTTATGCTTGTGTTGCAACCCCTTTTTTGTGTTTTGATGTAGACAGGCTTTATTGCTTCAGTCCCATCCCTGCTGTCTATATCGATTCGAATAAGATTTTATTTTCGTGCCCCTTTTTTGTTTCTCGTTCTTCAGCTCCTTTTCATTTCACTATGAACATTCTTTGTTGGTGAATCTTTATGCATATTTGATCATCTTCAGTCTTCTTGATTCTTGCTGCCACCAATTTTTCAGGGCCCCAGAAAGAGCTTTGGATTCCAGGGCTTCATCAAAGAGAGGCAATAATCAGATTGGTTCTCGACAAGGTGAGACTGGTAGTCTTTGTTTAGCATTAGCATGCCTTAGGTGTAAGCGATCTGTTATATTTATTGGACATGTTATATCTCATCACTGAGCCTTAAAATGGTTTTGGAACACGCAGAGGGATCCGATAGCCGCACATCAGATAAGGACTATTACAGTTTGACAGTAGAGAGGCTCCGGGCTCTTCTGAAAGAGCGAGGCCTTTCACCCAAAGGGAAGAAGGCAAGTATACAGCTTATCTTAATCTAGTCTACACTTCTTTTTTCTCTAGTCATATGGGTGTTGCTGGTTAACATGCAGAAAAAGAATGTTTACGTAATTTATACTGCGCCTTTAGTACAAGCAGTACCTCTCCTCCCCATTCATAAGGTTGAGGCCATAGGAACGAATCACAGAAAGTGAACCCTCTACCTCCATGGGGTGGGAACATAGTTTTAAATAGCAGCCATGATTGAAAAAACAGTCGTGGATCATGACTTATCGTTGTAGTAAAATAATGATCATGGTAATCGATGTTGTGAATAAAAAAGTTATTCTAATTCACATATTTTTATAATAATTTTACTAATTAAGCATATTAATGAGTAATGACATTTCTAATAGTTTAATATTATACAACAATAGTTGAATTTATTATTAAAAAAAAAAAACTTAATAACACTTCTAATATATTAATATTACATAAAAAATAATTAACTAATTATTTAATTTTTTAATTGGTGTTGACCATGTTTAAAGTAATATTATTTTATCCTAAAAAATGTTTTTTTCCATTGATTTTTTAATGATATAAATTTATTATTTTCTTTTTTAATAAAAAAAGAAAACAAATTTGAAGATAACATAAAATGAACCAAAAAAAAAAAAAACTAATTAGTTTTTGAAAAAATAAGTATCAACTAATTTATTTTTCCAAGCTAAAGGGATTAATTTATAATTTTCTTAGTTAAAACCTCCATTCCTACAAGTCTTTGATTTCGTGCACTCAACTTGAAATTTGGTTGAATAAGAGTGAGTAAATTACACATTAGTTCTTCTAGTCTTGATAAATAAAATAATGAGTCTTTTTTTATTCAAAAACTAAATAATTTAATATTTTGATGAATATTGATCATGTTTAATATAATATTATTTTATTTCATAAAATGTTTTTTTTCATCAATCTTTTCATGATATAAATTTATTTTTTTCTATTTTTTGAAATAAAAGGGAAAATAAATTAAAAAATAACATAAAATACTAAATAATTGTTTTTGGAAATAAGGACTAATTAATTTATTTTTCAAACTAAAGGGACTAATTTATAATTTATTCAATTAAAGCCTGCACTCCTCTAGAGTCCCTTGATTGTGAATATTATGCGGGTATATTTTCATCCAGTGCACAACTCTCTTTACTCTTCTAATCATCTCTCTCTACTTCACATCTTCCTTTTTTTGTCTCTCTCACTTCTTTTCTACTCCTCAATTCACATGTCCTCCTCTCTCTCTCTCTCTCTCTCTCTCTCTCTCTCTCTGTATTGGTTTTTCTGTAAGTCTCATTCGTTCTTTTTTCTTGTATTATTTTCGCATCTTTTGCATTGGTGATTAATTAGGGCAGAATTTCAATTTTTTTTATGTATATAACGGTAACGCCATTATATCTGTGAAACAGCAGTGGAGTACTAATAATACCGAATAACAATAATGGAGTGTCCCATTGTCTTTAGATAACGGCCGTTATGTTACGTAATGCCTGTGATTTAAAATTATGTAGTGGCTGTTATTTAAAACTATAGGTGTGAAAGATTAAAAGAGATGAACAGTCACTTTTTATAAAACTAGCCAATGAACTTTGAATAAAGAACTACATATGTTTTATCAGTTGGCATGTCTGCGAGGCCCTTGGACTGTCATTCTCATATTGACTATAAATGTCAGAATATAAATGTCAGAATCATCATTTTCATCTTGCATTGTGCCTTCACTGATTCCTGGTATTGCATGTGCAGGATGAGCTGGTTGCAAGGTTGAGAGGTGTGTAAAATGTAAATGGTTGATTGTTCAGGTGCAGAGATGAATCTAATCCCTGCATGTGTACCATCCAGGGTAAGGATAGTAGATGATTTTCTCGTCTCCTATGTAACTTAGGAAATATCAAAACTATGTAACTTAGGAGTGAAATAAAAACTTAAAGCACAAGAATGAGCTCGCTGCTGTTCTTGAGAATTGCATTTTGTATGGTTTTCGTATTTTAAGCGGGTTTGGTTTCGGGCTTCAAGGTACTTTTAAGTTTGTGCTACCACATACGGTCTTATCTTAAGAAACTTAAAAGACCATCCAACAATTTTGGTTTGTCTCAATGTCTGGTTAGAATTAAAATTTTCTCTCTGACCCTGCTTTCTAGTGTATTCATCTAAAGCTCGCAGCTTTGTGTATGCTAAATTTGAGGTTGCAACTGATTCTTCATATCCAAGGAGCTGATACAAACTTACAGCTTATAAAAGACTGGAAAGTTGTTTTTTGGTTTTTGGGGACTGCTTAAATGATCCAAGTTAGGTTCATATAATCAAAGCTGCACGCGAGTGAAAACCCATTTGACCGTAGTATGTAGACATCTCACAGCCCTGAGACATGGCCTGGATGCTTGAGGCCTTGCTAAAGGAAAATTGATTGCAGCTTGTAGGTTTCGCATGACTGGCAGCACTCGCATTGGAACTTGCACCAATGCGTAACGGAGCTCACGATACTGCTCAGATGGTCAGATTTGGGTCCGCAATGAAATTTCAGTATCTCACTCTTAACACGTCTAATGCAGTTCTCTTAAACAAAGAGGTGAGTCCTTTTAATGAGCTGCCACTACCACAAATCTTCACCCAGACGTACTAATTCGGGAGATAAATTGTGTAAACCTCAACTCTCTGAGTCCAAGCAATCAGAGAACTCAAAAGGTCCGATTTTCTTGGCTAAATGATTTTTTTTTAATTTAATAATGAAATTATTTTCGAATCAGTTTTTACATTAATTAAAATTAATCTTTCTCACCAAACCATCTTTAAAATGTATTTTTATATCAGTTTGGTCTATTTTGGAAGAAAATCCTAAATTCTATCCGAGTGTTGGCTCCAAAATATGAATCAAAAGAATCAAAGAACAGAACAAGCCGTTTTAATCGCCATACCATGCTAAGTCTGTGAGGAAGAAATAAACAGATTGACATAAATGGTGGTATTTTTTTATTTTTTATTTTTTTGCATTATTTTCTCATAATTTATATAATAGATAGAGTAGCTTTTTGATGCACTTCTCGTACCTTTCACAAATAGTATTTATTCCATTTTTCTTCCATTTTTCAAATCTGAGAAACAAAATAAACAATTTTTTCTCTCTCAACTTCGTGATCATATGCAAATCATTGAGTAAATTATTAATTAGTCCCTCTAGTTTTGCAAAACAAATTAAATAATCTCTCATGTTTTAAAAGCTAATTATTTTATTTTTTAATTGGTATTAATCATGGTTAATAATATTGTTATGTTTCAAAAAACATCTTCTTTCTTTGTTAATCTTTTCATTATTTTTTTACTTATTTTTTTCTCTTTTTTATTTATTAAAAGAAAGAGAAATGAATTGAAAAAGAATAAAAAAATTACGTTATAAATAGATTTAAAGTATAAAAAACTAATTACTTAGTTATTGAAACTAGAAAGATTATTTAATTCATTTTGAAAAATAGAGGGACTAATTTATAATTCACTCGCAAATCATTCGATGGAAAATGGATAAGAAGGATTTCGAGCCTTGAAGACAAACGACATAGGATTCGCAATCCATTAGTGGACCCAAGCTCGTTAATTATTGCTTTTTGGATGTTTCGAAGTTGCCATTTGCTGAACTTGCAAAGTGAGTTGCGAGTGTGTACCCTTTTTTGGCATGATGCTTATTGAGGGAATTTTTTATTGGTTCATAAAAACATGACATTTTATAAATGAGGGAATCGTGGAAGTTGGATAAGTTCATCTTCCATGAGGTTAAGGACTCAAGGTTATTGTTCATTCTGTCTCCACTTGTCATGTCAGTGTAAAAGACAAACAACTATGAGTTTATGAAGGGAAAAGCAATAGACCAGGAGATATTAAACAGACATATTAAAAGGATGGATGATGATTATAATAGATAATTAATCACTAAGAACCTTATAACAAGAGTTGAACATGATTAGACATAATCACCATGAGAAATGGCCATGATTATAATACCACTCTAACGTTATCTCACGTTCTTCTGATAATCACATTTCTCTGAAAATTTTATTTCTTTAAGAATTACGTTCTTTCTAAAATTCTATTCCTCCGAGAACCTATGGCATCGTTCCTCTAGAAACTTGCGGCCTTCTTGTTTCGAGAACTTGTAGTTGCGTTTCTCTAGGAACTTGCGACCACGTTTCTTTGGAAATTGATGGCCGTATTTTTTTCATAAAACAGCTATTTTGTCTAAGTAGAAAGGCAACACTCCTTCATCGGTGTGTGGTTCTACCTTACCAAGCTATAGAAGAACACTTTATCCAAGTACAATGACACCACGCCATTCGATAAAAGAAGATTATCATGCTCAATAAAATTTTCGAGTTATCGTTATGTCAGACACCAGACCTAAGTATAGACTTTAAGGGGAATAGGTTTGCACCCGAGTAGAACTCACCCATGACTCCATCTTAGGTGGAAACTTGGACTCCTTTGGTTCCATCATGGATAGGACTTTGGACTTCTCTTATTCCATTCTAAATAGCACTTTTGACTCCTTTGATGTTGTCTTGGGTAGCATTTTAATGACAAATTTTGTTCTTATTTTATTATAATTTGATAATTTCGGATATATTGTATTAAATTACGTAATTTAAATCTCAAAATATTAAAAATTGAGTAAATGTGATACAAATTATCCAATCTCCATTATATTTAACGTTTAATCCGAGTTCATTGTTATACGAAATGTCCAAACTATGTCGTTTTGACATTCTGTCGTTAATTAATTTTTTTTTTAAAAGCCATTTTAAAAATATTATTAACCCCCAAATCTTGAACTTTTTTTAAGAAATAAATTATGCTCATTTTGAACTTTAAATTATATAAAAAGCATTTTATAAATATTTTTAACTCCCTAATTTTGAACTTTTGTTTTATAAATTATAAAATTAGAGGTTCCTTAATTATGCTCATTCTAATTTGTAAAATATATTTTTTTTAAAGCCTAAAATTGTGTATTGTTAATTATGTTTTTTACAATAACATTTTATAATTTTTTTTTAAAGTTCAAAATTAGGGGATTAAAAATATTTATAAAATATTTTTTTATAATTTATAAAAATATTTATAATATTTTATAAGAAAAAATTTTTAAGATTAAGGGAATTAAAAATATTAAAAAAAATTAACGGCGAAATGTCAAAACGACATCGTTTTGGTATTTCAAATAACGATCAATCCAATTGATTGTTATACATAATAGGGATTAGACAATTTAAATCATATTTACTCAATTTTTAATATTTTGAATTCAAATTATACAATTTAATACTATAAGTTTGAAATCATCATATCGCAATAGAATAAGAATAAAATTTATCATTAAACCCTTGGGTAGCACATTAGACTCCTATGATCACATCTTGGGTAGGGTCTTGGATAACATCGCGGCCACGCGGGTAGCTTCCGGACCACCATCTTGACTAGTATCTTGGCTAGCCACACAACTAGGAACCTCAAGCATCCATCTCTTGCCCAATCAGTTCCCATACCAAGAATCACATGCCACACTTCGAAGAAGATGGCTATACCCGCTGCATCCATTAATCATACCTCCAAAGCCTCGGTTTGTCAGGCAACTCATGGAATATGATAGCTAGACAGTTTAAATAGTTTTAAGTTATATTTTCAAAACTCTATCAAATTATATCATTTAAGAAAATTATTATCTTAAATCAAGTAAACCTCACTTTAAAATAGGAGGACAACCTGTAGAACAAGAAATTCGAATCCTCTCGTAAAACCCACCAAGTTTAGATTATTTTTATAAGTATAGGTTCTTTCTTTTATGGTTTTATAGTCATTTGATCCAACACATTTAATGCATGCATTATATCTTATATTTTTTACTATATAAAAAAGTTTTTAATTTCGTTAAAAAAAACAACACTTACACAATTTTAGATAGTTTAATCTTTCTTTCATATCTATACAATATGTTAAAATATCGCTTTAATTATCAAATTAATTTGACTGGACACTTTGATGCCACTAAACCCAATATATAAGCTTTATATGTATAAAATTTTAAAGGACATTATTATTAATTCTTAAACATTTCAAAAAAAAAAAAATACCAAATATAATTAATGTAAATGCCCAAAATATTATGCATCTTAGATACCATCAATAAAAAGAGAAAGATGCACTGATGTGAAATTGCGAAAGAATGGCCAAACGGGGGCAAGCAAAATTAGATTTGTAGGTAGATAGCATTTTGCATGCTTGAATTTTTTATTATTTTTTTCAAAGAGTTCAAGTCATATGGGTCGGTGTTTTGTCGTGTCACCTTCTGCTTTGCTCAGAAAAAGGACGCTCACTTTCCTTTGATATGTCACCTCATCATTTCCCACGTGTAACCCTAGCTAAACGCAGCGCCGTTTTTACACTTTAACTGTAAAATGGTAGGTATTATAATCTTGCGGTGACGCAGCCGGATTGGAACTTTGGAAGTGCAAACACATAAAAGACCTTTTTCTTTTTTAATACGGAAATTGATTTTTATTTTTTGAGAACGTTATCGAGGGAGATAAAAAAAAAAATCTCAGTATAAAATCAAATAAAGCATTTTCTTAATAAGTGGTAAGAAAATTAAAAAAAAATAAGAGAATTGATTTGAATGAAATGAGTTTTAATCGTTTAAATAAATAGTTTTAAATTTAATTTTTTATGTATTAAAAACATTTTAAATAATTATTTATATATTGTGCGTTCGGTAGAATAATGAGTGATTAATTAAAATTTTTAGATCTAAGATATTCTGAAGTATTAAAAAAAAAAGGAAAAAAACCATAAAACCCACATCAAGAAAATCAAAACAATTATACTCATTTGTGGTTAAATAATGAAATCAAAATTGTCAACTCTCGTTCTTTTTTAAACTAGAGTGAGACTAATTGATTAAATAACATTAAAGTCTAGACACATAGTGTGCCAAATTTATCACTTAGTATCTTTAATTTACTGGAACGAGATCAATTGGTTTGGGTTTGGGAGCACATTTAATTTCTCAAAAATGACAAGATAGTGTGCAAATTTATCACTCAAGACAGTGCATGGACCATCAAGGCTCAGCTGGGGCAACTACTAGCTAGTTGGCAAGAAATCTTCCATTTTCAGCAACCATTTTGGTGGAGGTGGTGTCAAATATTTTGCTAATAATTGAGAATGATAATTATAGGGGCATGAAAGGGATACGGTAGAAGGAATGGAATGGTGCACGATTATTTCTAAGCAGTTTCAATTCTGGAAACAAAAACGTGGTTCCAATTTTTCACATGCCTATTAGATTTCGGCGCAAGAGCTAGCACATGGACATGGACAATTTGGTCAGATTTTAAGTTTGGTACGACGGATGAGATGACACCCATTGAGGCTTTCTCAACGTGAAATATCTACTTTTTTTTTACAAAAAAATATGTAAAATCCGAGTTTGGCGTCGAGGACAAAGAAATCAGCCGGAATATTGTATATAATATCCGTAACCTACCAAAAGATCTTGGAAACCCTGGGCGCTGTCATCGATCTATTTTTTAATTAAGCTCGAGAACCATGTCTTCAACGTTCCACTCGAATCTCAAAACTTGGCAAACACCAATTAGTCCAACCAATTGCTAATAATTTTATTTTCATCGATTACAGTCTTCTCCCGACGTCTTCCACTCATCCGCAAAACAAATATAGGTTTTTAGAATTTTTATTTATTTATTTTGCTAAAAATAAAATACTTTCATATCTATTAAGATTTCATACAATTTGATTTTTTTTATTGAGATCATAAGTTTTTTTGTCTAATTTAATAGTTCAATTCTTATATTATTGTTTTAATTCCTAATGTACCACATACGTGGCTAGCTCTAACTAATAACGAGGTTGCCATGTGTCAAGCTTAGTCTAAATTAGATGATTGAATTGGTGATATGGTAAGTTGTTATTGACTAAGGTTTGAAACAATAACAACATATGAGTAGAACTCTTAAATTTGATAGAAAAAATTTAAGATTTCAAAAAAAAAAAAAATTGAATTATACAAGTTAATCTAGATATGCATAAAACCGTAAAAATAAAATAGGTTGGAATATTATTTTAATTTGTCGAGGCTTGAATTTGAGACTATCCTTGCCTTATGTTATGGGCAAGAATTAATTTGTTTCTTCTCAAGAACAATGACGAATGTGAGTAGTTGTTAATTATAACCTAAAGGGTGGAAGAAATTAAGCTTGTTAGATAAGAGAATAAAAATCCGTTTAGATGTGTACGTATATAGTTAAGGATTTTGACCACACACCTGACCACCCATGTCATCACCAAATATAATTAGATTGTGGCCAATGGGTTTGCTAGCCGGTGAGGCTAAGGTGTCACAACCATTCTATTAGTTCTTAATTTTATTTTATTTTTTTGGATTTTCAAAATATCTCATATTCAAAAACTCGGATTAATTCCTTACTATTCAATTGGACGCACAAAACGAGGCAAAGTTATCTAAGGAGTTTTACGCATACATCAAAGACTCGAATCCAAAACTACTTGCTTAAGCGATTAGAGCTCTTTCCACTCAAGTCAATCCTCTTAGGTATTAATTCTTAATTTTTACTAATCTAAGTGATTGATTCATTCATTAAGTGGGCTTCTAAAAATTTTATTTATTTATTAGATGTGCATAAATTAAGCACACATAATTAGTTTAAATTCCTACTATATAGTTCTTTCCAAAAAAGAATAAACCAAAGAAGAGAGAATTCCTATTGATCATATCCCTCATTTTGGCAAATTCTCTCATTTTAGAAGTCAACTTGTGAATGCTTTTAGTCCCACCATTCATTTTGAATTAACTACAAAAAAATACACGGCTAGCGACGAATTATTTCGTCGCTAATTAGCTCATATCCATCACTAAATTCACCTAGCGACGGCATAGTGATGAAATGTATGTCCGTCGTTAAAACTAGCAACAACACAATACATTCCATCGTTATAACAACGATGAAAAATTCATCGCTCTAGTTAAACATTAGTCACCGAGAATGATTGTGTCAAGTGTTGCTAATGTTGTTCTTAATTAACAATTGATATGCCGTCGCTAATATCCGAAGCTAAGTGGAGACGTCGTTAAACCGTAGCTAATCCATCACTACATGTCGTCGAAATTCGTCGCTATATCCGACACTATAAGTATGGAATTTTTTGGCAATTCGTTGCTAATTATTTTTTAAAAAAATTATATATTTTTTATAATTTTCTTTGTTCGTTTGTTCTTAAATTATTAATATTGTATGTAATAATTTACAATTACAAGAAATAATGTATAATTTAAATATTATAAATTAAATACAAATCAATATTAATAATAACAAAATTCGGTAGTACATATGAAAAAAATAAAGTAACAAAATATATTATCACTCATCTTGCTCGTCTAATCTCCTATCCTCCTCATGGTATTTGGTGGGGGGCTCGAACGGGAGGTTGGGCGGGAGGTTGGGTGGGTGGGAGGAATGGTGGAGTCTTGACTAGTTGATGGATTTATAGGCAACTTGGTTGTCTATGCCAACCTCATCAACATGGAGGCCATCGTCTCGTGCGAGAGTTAAGCCTATATATGGTGCTCTATTGCTTCGTGGCTAGGTTTTAAAGCTTGTCTTGCATCCTTTTCATCGCTTCCTTCGTCTCCTCGTACTACCTCCGAAGCACATCATTAGTAGGGTTGTTGGTGTAGTGCGATGATGCGATGAAGAAGGCTGCTTGCCACTAGACTAGGACAAGTATTGCACTTGCCTATGTGCCTACACCATATAACCTTTACTTTTTCTTCCTTATAACTCTGGAGGTATATGGCATTCTTATCAACTTCTAGCTTCAACATTCCTTCCTCCTGGTGCATTACAACCGCCTTCGGATGAGCTTTTCATCACGTTCTCGCGTAATTGAAATAATGATATTATTATAAGATTAAAATAAATTTTAGATTATCTTTGCATATATAAAATTTGAAAACGAAAAACACTTATCATTGTTTGCTAGGAGCGCGGATCAACAAAAGAACCATCTTGTCACTTGTGAGTCATCTAAAACAACTCAAAACTAGTAGGCTCACGACCCAATCGTCTTCGAAAAAAAAAATGAATCACAAACAATATAAGATGAAAATTTAAATTTTCTACAAATATGTAATTAATAATAAAAAATTTACAATTTATCAAGCGATGGACATGCTCTTCGCGGATATGGAGCCCCTTGTATGCTTGGAAGGATTTGCACTAAGGCCTTCGATCTTCGACAATCGATTCCGCAATGCTTGCTCTAAATAAGCCATATGTTCGGGTTTTACGAAAACTTATTTTCATGGGTCCCGGACCTTTTGTCTAATAAAAGCGAGGCCATTCAACTAACAAACTACACTTGTAGACCAAGTCAACGTACC